TATATATATATATATGTTTATCAGACGACGCTTTTCATGAAAAATGAATGGATGACGTTGAAGCCATGGTTATCAGTAATTAAACATGTGTATCACAAACATTTCGAAATAAAAAATATTGGTCAGTAATTATTGTAACAAGCAACTACTCATCATGTACTGTATGAACATTCGTATTTTTAAATAAAAAAAATGCTAACGACAAACGTTATCAGTCAGTAAATTAAATTATGTCAAGTCTGAATATAAGAACACTCATATTCTTTTCGAATGATAGTGTTCCAGATCTCTCCTTATATCTATCAGTTGTGAAATGAAAATGTCTGTTTCCACTCATTCCCGAATACCTGATCAATAAATTGAAGCACAGATCTCCGACGTGATAGTAGACGGATGTGTGATAACAACCGTCCACAAAGAAGTAACGTGGACGCTATTGTTAGATATGGAACAAATTTCATGTAGTGTACGCTGTATTTTCGAAAAATGAAGTGTTCTCAAACATATTCATTCATCAATTTCTATTTTGTCCCTTTCGAAGAAGTAGTCCCCCTCAGATATAGTGCCAGATTAGATAATTCAGGAAACACTTACTATATGAATATCATTTTACAAGTGTTGTTCATGACGAAGAATTTCAAGAACGAAGTTTTAACGACGAACGAGAATGAGAATGTTTCCTACTTATTCACCAATTGTTCATGCAGCTGCAGTTTCGTAGCAGAATCAATATTCCTGACCTCTCTAAATTGAATGATTCCGTATAGTCTATCTCGTCTTGTGTTTGTAGATCTTTTGTGGAAAAATCCTCACTTGTTTACTTTGTAGTGAATGTTCAAGAGGTTGCAAAAACGTATGTGAATATCTGGAACTTCAGTTAGCGTTTCCTAATATAACTGATAACCAGTCCGTGCAAAGCTTTTTGTTAAATCATCTGAAAATGAAACTTTTAACGGGTGATGATCAACTGTATTGCCAAACAAGCGCCAAACTGACTGACTATTATAAGAAAACAAGTATAGGTGAGGCACCAGTCAACCAAATAATAACACTGATGATCGTCAAACATGACTCAACCTCTGACGGAAGCACCGAACTCTTACGAAGATTCGAAACAAATGAACATTTCAATATAGCAGACCACTATTATAATCTCCATGCAGTCATTGTTCACTGTGGTTCTGGCCTTGATTCTGGCATTGGTCAAAGACCAAACGGACTGACGATACTCATGTCACTAAGTGTTCTGGCGATGTCTTGTATTTATTGGAGCCTCTGGAGATACTCTACATTTTGTTTCACGAAAGAGAGGATATTGGCAGATCAAGATCTACAGATGATGTGGTGCTGCAGGTTTTTCCGGGTTTTCCTGCAGCTGAAAATGCAAATGCGCCACTGGAATCAACGAAGTCGCCCCGGAGGTGTTTCATAATTTCATGATTTGTATTTCAACATATCTAGGAATATTAGTGCCAACATTATTTCCAATACTCGAAGGAATTCTGATATGCACATTTTGGTATGATCTTGAGCTCTCTCAGCGATTCGGTTTTTATCCCTTCATTCGTCGTGAAAAGCTGTCTTCTTAATCATGGGTAAAGGAAAAAGTCGCAGGGAGCCAAGTCTGGTGAATACGTTGGCTGAAGCATGATTACGGTGTTGTTTCTTGCCAAAAAATTACAAAGAAGCAATGACCAGTGAGCAGGTGCTTTATCGAGATGCGAAAGCCATTAATTGTATTTTCACAATAACAGACGTTTTCTTCATATTGCTTATCGCATGCGGCGCATAACTTCAAGATAATACTTCTTATTAACCGTACGACTATATGGCAAGAACTCCGGATGCACTACACCACGATAATGGAAGCAAACAGTGAGGAAAACTTTGACGTTTGATCGAACTTGGGCTGCTTTTTTCTGTCTTTGCTCTCCTGGGCTCGTCTAGTGGGACAACTGGACTTTGGTTCCGATATCATAATCATATACCCGTGATTCGTCACCAGTTATGACTCTGGATCACCGTTGACGTCATTAAATATTTCCTGAGCGATTTTTCCTGAGCGACTCCTGATGGGACGTTTTTTTTATCGAACTTCAGTGATTTTGGAACGAACTTTGCTGCCACACGCTTCATGCCCAACATTTTCGAATACGACGACTTCTCTAATAGTGATTTGACGATTCTTCAATACAATTTTCTTCACTTTGTCAACATTTTCTTCGGTTGTTAATGTGCTGTGGTGTCCAGGTCAAGCGTCGTCATTCACATCTTCTTGACCTTCTTTGAAAAGTTTGTACCACTTGTAAAAATTGTTCTGACTCAGAGTACAATCACCGTATATCACTGTCAACATTTTGAGTGGTTTCGAGCACTCAATTCTATTCCTTACACAAAATTTGATGAAAATTCATCACAACATTTTTTAGATAGCAGGAAATCGCCGAACATGCAAAAACACTTGTTACTTGTATGCATCTCACCAATAAGATAAGCATGCTAAACAGCTGAAACTGTGGATACTCGTATATGTTTGAGACGAGTATACCTTACATATAATTTTTTTTAAATCGCTCATGGAATATACATAGCCCGCGAAATTTGGGCATTCACTTTATTTTTTTGAACAGTCACGTATAGAGTGTTGTGATTTATCTAAAGAAATGAACTCTAAACGTTCAAGCCAGTCTCGAATATACCTACACAGTAGGTTGAATGGACTGACGCCTATCAGAAAACAACTAGTCCCCTGGCTAATACCACGAAGGGCATCAGTGCAGGAATCTTCGCAGAAAATTTACTGCATATGCAATTGACAATACAACTGAAAGAGTTGACCTTCAATTTTGGAACGCTCACACTTACAGACCGGTTTCGGGCTCATTAGCCACTCATCAGTGCAAGATAGTGACCATCATCGACCTAAAGTTCATGATATTTCATAATTGGAAATCGGAATTCTTTCAGAGTATTTCATTTATCTTCCTAGGTTGGAGCGAAACAACAAAATGTCACTCCACTACATGGATTGTAGTGTGTTTACAAAATGTCACTTCACTACATGGAGTGACATTTTGTAAACAAATCTATTAGATTTGTTTACTGCCAGTCATCAAGCATAGCCCACTGACTAATAAGAAAGTTTTTCTTCCTTATTCAGAGGAATCGGGCAAATTACGGATATGCAGTTGGTTAGGTTATGTTAGGTTAAATTATTAGTAAATTCAAGAAATCTTCATTACTCTAACCTAATCTTGACATTATCCTATTATAATTGGTAGCTATCACAATCAGTCAAAACCACCAACGAAAGTCTGACGTTAAATAATTGGTTCATTTATTTTTCCAAAGAACAGTATTAAAAAATATTAATGTGTACTGTTGTACGTTAGAGACCAATACCTCAATGTATACAAATTGTAACTTTTTCTAAGGCAGGTACATACCAATTTCGAATTGACTGATCTGAGACAGTTAAAAAACTGGATCAAAAAGAAATAATATTGACTTATGCATACTGTGGAATTTTCAGGTTGATCCGTTGAATAGTTTGCCAGAAACGGCTAATTAACGCTCATCATGAAAAGCCCTGTGTGACATCATGACAGAAAAAAATACAAATATATGTGTTGCTATTCGTACGAAACCGAGTCGAATGAAATCAGATTATATATATCGATGCAATTCTACACAATGCCTGTGAGATATCAGTATCCATTAATGGATCTTGGTATGAATTATTTGTTATCACGTTTCAATATTCCACTGATTTTTTTCTCGATTAAGCTAACTTTCACAAATGTAACTAAATTCAAGTAGGTAATTTTATCACATATTGCATATCGAGTCGAATTAATTTTCAAAACCTGATAATGATTTCGCTTCACGACAGACTTGTAACAAATTATCAACAATATTTTCAGGACATCCCAACGTCAAAGTTTTTGTTACTCAGGGAGGTCTTCAATCGATAGAGCAATCCATTGCTTTTGGAGTTCCTATGGTTGGAATACCAATTTATGGTGATCAACCAACGAATGTGAAGACCCTCGTTGATGGGGGAATGGCATTATTTATAGATTTCAAATCAATAACAAAGGACGAACTCAAAAAAGCCATCTTGGAAGTGGGGACAAACATAAAGTAAGTATTTTAGGTAAAAATAGACCTGTAGCTTATAATCTGTAAAAACGACCCGAGTTGATATTCGAAAAGGATTAGTGACAGTAATATAATGACAACTAGTGTCCGGAAAAGTCATTTCAGGCCAAAAATCAAAAAATCAAAAAAAATCAACAAAAATCAAATTAATTTGATAACTGTCGGAAAAAGAAACATATGTCAAAAAAAAGAACTTTGGAGTGATGAACATTTTCACTGAAGTCAAAACCTTTTTTTTCATTCAGTTTTTGATTTTCGTGCCTTAAAATGATAAATCAAAAATTAACCATCTGAAAGCGGTCCTGATATGGTTTTCCCAAATCAGAGGAAACACAATAACACAAAATCGGTTAACAATATATCGTTAGCAGAGTTAAAATAGAGTAGGTGACACATCGACTTTTAAAAAAAGAACTAGTAGTTGTTATTCGTATTTTATCAACAACCATGCATTGCAGAAATTTCCTGTAAATGTAATAGCTGAAATTTTTTATCAGTTTCGAATGTATTTTGGAAATATCAAAACGCTTTATACTCAGAAAGACTATGAATGTGATGACCTACAAGTTTTAGTGACAACCTAACAGCTACAGTTGCTTGACTTTGGATAAGTTTCACACACTATCTGCCTCTTTACATGCTTTATATTAGCTTCACCTGTATGTATGTATGTATGTTTGTTTGTTGATATTTATTGATCTATTCGCGGACAGATGGCACTGTACGTAACTATCACTTATTAATTGATCTATTCGCGGGTAGATGGCGCTGTATGTAACATCCTTGATAGATTGTTCAAAAGAAAATCAAAATAAAAAACATATTTTAAGAATTATAAGTGTTAGCGAAATTTTGTTTTATAAATGAAATATTCAGATATTTGAATATTTTTAATTACCCGTGATTTAGTGTAGAAAAAAGTTTTGAACGAAACGGAAAATACATTTTAAAATCTAATTCGATTATTTGAAAGGAAACCAGAATATGGATTTCAACAATAACAACTTTATCGTAAATTGCACTCCTGAAAAATTCAGTTACTTAAATATTTAAAACATAGAAATTTTCATTTCTCTTTTCATTATGATCTCCTACCACGTAGTAACATACATCAATTCATTTATAATACTAGTGACTAGAACTTAAAAAATGAATCGGAATGAAAAGTGTATTTCATTAACAACCGTGCATTGCAGAAACTTCCTGTAGAAGTAATAGCTAAAATTATTTATCAGTTTCGAATGTATTTTAAAACTATCAGAACGCTTCATACTTGGAAAGACTATGAATGTGACGACCTACAAGTATTTGGTGACAACCTAACATCTACAGTTGCTTGAGGTTCCCACACTATCTGCTTTTTACTCCATCTTCTCAAGTAGAACATCCTATTTTTGTTTTTTACCAGAGATGGCATGTTGAAGTGATTCAAAAAATATGTCTCAAGTTGCGATAAATTTGATACAAAGTGGGTGGAAGTTCATAAAGATTAGATCAGAAAGTTAGGCGTCATCTTAATCGCCACAAAAGAAATAACCAGGAAAGGAATTTCTGGCAAAAACATAACAATCTGCACTGACAGCATACAAGCCCTAATAGCCATGAAACAGACAACGTATAACCTCAGGGCTAGTACTAGAGTGTCACCAAGATTTAGCCAAAGCCTCGATAGATAATAACATTTTCCAGAGATAGGATAAAGGGCACGAAAGAAGTAAAGGTAATCGCATTCCTTTAGCCAAGGAAACGGCTAGACTAAGAATTTTAGGAGCCAGAGGCACATACGGCCTGATGACTTCGACGATTGCGGAACTAGCCAAATGTTACACCCATGCTCAATCCTTAAAGAGATAGGAAGAAATCAAAGGATGCAATCTTGGTAGGCACACCTTGGGCGACCCTGGGAAGCTGGCGCCAAAGAAATATCTGGCGATGACCAGGAAAAATCTACGCTTAACAATAGAATTTCTGACTGGCCATTGTCAACTAAGGAACACCCCCATAATATGGGGCTAGTGGACACACCTTTATGCAGGATGTGTGGACAGGAAGATGAAACTGTCAGGCATGACCTATGCGAGTGCCCGGAGTTATCGTCGATAAGAGAGTGTGTGTGTTCGGCGAGTCTTGACCTACACCTGCCGATATAAAGGAGATGTCTCCCAATGACCTGTCCACCTTCCTGGAAAAGACAAGATGGACGATGACCTAGGAGGACAACTCCTGACACTCACTCTCCCTACCCTTCAGATACACTTAGGCGTCATTGTAATTTTAACAAAATAATATATGAAAAATAAACGTATTGAAAAATTTCAAATAAACTTTTGTCTTTGTACAGAGTGGGCCAAATTGGACTCTTCCAAAGGGAAACTACTGTTTCCAAACTAGATCAATGAAAACTGATGACTGTGTCTGAGGGTCAAAGTTTATGACAAATTCAATTGTAAAAACCACATATCGTCATCTATCATCGTTTCTGAGTTACAGCATGCAGTCAAAAGTTTCACTTTTTTACGTAGGATTCAGTGGTGTGAGAAACTTTTCAGATGAAATATCAATAGTTATTGATGGAAAACTATTTTGTCAATGAGACACCCTGTATATTCCTGCATACGGAGCTTTAAGGTTTTTTCATGTAGACTGAAAAAGAATACAAATATCTACTTGGGGCTGTCAAATTTTGATTTCAGCAGTAAAGAGGCTCTTCAATTAGTGATTGTGTTTGTCAATTTTCAAACACATACGCAATGAAGAATGAGAATTATGAAAAATAAAATATGATAATCCGTTTTAAACAATGCAGAAGCAGCAAGCAATTTGTATCACGAGAGGTATCCAAGGAAAAGACAACCTTTAAGAAACATTTTCGCAAGATTGCGACACAAACTAATTGATGGTGGTCAATTTGAAAAGTGAAGGCCAAAATCATATCAAATCAAATCAAATCAAAGTGTACTTCATTGTCGAAGATGAAATCTCATTGACAAAGTGTTACTGTTCTATATAAGAAATATAATATACACAACTTGAAAGATATTGTCGAAGATAAAATATTATTGTCAAAAGTGTTATTATTTTAAAGAATATAAGTTATACAAATTGAAAGTAATATTTGAACATTTGGTGATTTCAGTATTCGAGGGTGAAAAAGTAGTCAGAAAGTATCAATATATATGCTACATATTGAAATAAATAATAATAAAAATGAATATTCTCATGCAACACATAAATATAAGTATGAGAATATAAAAACTATAAAGCATAAACATATAAGAGTGAATGCATAGAAAATAACAGTAAGTATCAACTTCATAAACATTTTCAACAAAGTCTTCAAGCATAGCCCACTGACTAATAAGAAAGTTTTTCTTCCTTATTCAGAGGAATCGGGCAAATTACGGATATGCAGTTGGTTAGTACCTCATTATACACATATAAAACAGGGTAGCGAAATCTTGTTAATCACACCATTCATAATTCATGAACGACACTGCAACAATTTCCATGATTTTTGATTTGCTAGATTTATCTCTGCGAGGAATAGCAGCACAATATTTATTGAAAAAATTTAAATATTGAGGAAAAAATATTAAAGAAATATTGAATTGGCAACATTCATTTCGACAATGGCCTGGCTACGCACAAAGACAGTTCATGGCATAATGTCATGATAGACACAAAGTCACCAATATACCGGGTGTCCCACATTTTATGTGACAGGCAATATCTGGTTTGTTGAAGGAGATACACAAAAATGTTTCATACAAAAGTTTCAGGAGTTCATGGGAGCTATATTTTGATATAATTTTTAAATATACAGGGTGTTTGGTGTAGGTGCTACAG